GCCGGCCCCCCGGGGGGGGCAACACGAGCCGTGGAAAAGGGGGATGAGGGGAGGAAAATGGCGGCTGGGATCCGCCTACCTGGTGATCCTAGCTCGTCCTTGCCTGGCGTTCTCCTCCCTCCGCGCTCGTACCGGTGCTTCGGTGCCTGCTCACGCTCTGCCGGCCTCTCCCTATGGGCCTCTGCCAGCCCCCGTTTCTTCTTTCTCCAGTTTCCGCCCCCACCTTCCTCCATATTGTCACTTCATCCTGATGCGGACCCTGGGGTCATCCTCTGATGGTGCCCGCACCTCCCCCCCACCGCCCATCAGCCTTTTCTTGTTTGGCTTCCCCACCTCTTATCATAGCTGTGCTTGGTTATGCATTGTGCTATTCTAGCTGCCCTCATCCTGCAGCATGGCTTCTGTCTGCTGGCCCCATAACCCTTTTAATTTTCGGTGTTAAAGCTTCCCTTGTGCTCTATCCAATTGCGACACAATTTAGCCTGCTTCAGAACTGCATTAATCGTTTAGCATTATTCAGACTCCTTTTTTTCCTTTGCACATGGTTTACTTTGTTGCCAATTTTAAACATAGCTATTCCTTTTCCTTTCCTGATGTGTGCTGCTTTAATCTTCTCCTAGCGATTTCTAGCTGTGGTTTATTCTCACAGGAGTTCTCTGGGGTACTTATTTTTATTTTGAAACTCTTTATTTGTTGCAAGAAGTGCAACTATTGTATCTAACCACATGCTTGCATACTAGAGAGATGTAGAAACACATCTGGCAGAATGCATTCAAGGAAAGTTGAATGTCCACTTGTCTGACAATGCACATAATGACTGATGGGGCCATAACAGTTAAAATTTGTGAATGTCACACTAAGAATTCAGCTGGAGGAGAGTATTGTATTTTTTACATTATGATTTCTGTCATATGTGAAACTGGTGAAAAGGTTCCTGGTAAACAGAAACGCTGCATTTAATGCAGTTGCAGCAAAAAGAGTAACAGATGTAAAAGGGAGGAGTGTATGAGATTGCACCTACCATGTGTATTGAAGCTTATTAAAAAAGGCAGGCAAGTCTTTAGGAGGGTTTTGAGTAAGATGAGCTTTTCCAAGCAGGTTTGAAGATGTCTTTCCAGCTGTAACAGGACTTGTTCTTTGTTGAGTGTTCTCACATTATTTTTCTCTTCCTAGAATGCCTAAGTCAAAGGAACTTGTGTCTTCAAGCTCATCTGCCAGTGATTCAGATAGTGAAGTTGACAAAAAGGTGAACATTGTATGCAGTTTATTACTACTGTATTAACTCTTCTATTTCAGGCTGTGGTTAAGGAATTAGGTGAGCATTATGTCACAACATGCATGTGATTACCTATGATTTACCAGATACTTAAAACACCCCCTCTCCCACCCCCACCCTCCTCAACAACAAGAAAAATCCTACCTCCCATGTTTGGGGTATGGCTGCATAGGATGCTTTTTACCTTGCAGTAAACTTTTTTATTTTCTTAAGTTCCATTTTGCTCTCTTCAGGGTTTTCCATAGGATTTGTCTAACCATAAGCTGCCTGGAATTTGTCTGCTTTGTGGCAATTGAGAGAGGTCTCCTGTATAAGCTGCCCCTGGTGGCAAGAATTTGGACTAATTTTGATGACAAATTACCCCACATACCCCCTCTCCTCCCATTTTGATATCTTCATTACTTGTCTAAAGGAGAATCCTCCATTTGCCCTATTCTACATGTGCCACTTCCTTATCTTGTTTGCATGTTCTTTATTTCTTACAGATTCTTACATTTATTCTAATACCATATGCTAGTTTCTCACTTAGAATCTGAACCAACCTAAATATCTTTGAATTGATTAATTTTAATGCATATTTTAAGTGTGTAAGTTGAGCGTTCTCCTTTATTTTTAATAGTTATTTAAGTCATAAGTTTGTATGGATGTACTAGTTGTTGTAAACGAGACCAGAAAAAACCCTAGTGAATTTATCTCTCTTAAGTAACACGGGCATCAGATCTTTTAGTGTAGTATTTGAAGAGACTCAGTCTGTTCTGCTGAATTGCTTCACACCTGACTTGGTTGCACTTTGTATGTTAGGCATTCTGTCAAATTTGAGTATAAGAGAAAGTGGTGAGGTGATTTTTTGGGTAGGGAAATGTATTGCTGAAAAGATGTAGTCTTAACAGTCAGCTTTAGTGGGCAGTAAAGTGCTTTTTTTTTTCTGTTATAACCTTCCACGTCTTTTGGAACTGTTTGTCTTTAAAACACATTCTCCAGAGTATGGTTCTAGTAGGTAAGACTTAATATTTTGTATCTGTGTATTACTCTTTTTTGAGGTGGTAATGGTTACTGTTATAACCATTAGTAAAAATAGTAACTCCATAGCATCTGCAAATAATCTGATTTAGACCTGGTATCCTCTGAATGTTTTGAAAATGTTTAATTTATCATGCTATGGGCAGTGATTTGAAGCTGATTTATAAAACCAAAATCTGCTCTGGTGGATGTGATTCTCAGATTGTTTCTTCACTATCTCTTGTATTTCTTTTTTTCTTTTTTTAGAAGAGTTGTAAGCTGTCCTGCGTTTTTTGTTCCACTCGGTGGAAAGGAAGGTGCAAATTCCATCAGACTTGAAATTTTTTTGTTAAAACTATTTTACCAGCAGTGTTACTGTATAGAAAGAGTAGTGTCTTTGACATTTATTTTAATTTAATTCACTTCTCTCTAAGGCCAAGGTATTATGGTAAACTTCACTGGAAACATTAGGCTTATTTGATTATTTATTTATTTTTCATTCCAGTCTAAATGTTTTGTATTTGGTTCCTGCCTTCACAGAGGAAGGTGACAATGTACCCTGCATGGTAGTAATTTGTGATCTCTAATGTAAACTATTTTGTAACTTCCAGAATGAGTTGTGGATGATGCTTTTTAATTTTTTTTTATTCTGGCTCCAAGGCAAAGCGGAAAAAGCAAGCAGCTCCAGAAAAGCCTGTAAAGAAACAGAAGACTGGTGAAAGTTCAAAAGGTGCAGCTTCTTCTAAGCAAAGCAGTAACAGAGACGAGAATATGTTTCAGGTAAACTGGTGACTCTTAGAGCCTGGTGAAGCTAACATATTACATTATATTCAGTATAAATTTTATTAAGGGTGCTGAATATCTTGAGAGTGTAGTGCTCTCCTGACACCTGGCCGAAGGGAATTGCGATGCTGCCATGCAGATGTGATGCTCAGAAAAAGTGTTGTCAGGCTTCAGCAAGGTAAAATAATCTGAGCTGTAGCAGTTGATCTAACCCTCATATCTTTGCACATGGAAGATCTCTCGTTAGTAGTTTTGTCCATAAGTACAGCACTTACTACTGGTGTACTGTAAATATTAGGTCAGGATAGTCTCTACATGGAAATGTTTTTTGATCAGTGCTCTTGAAAGGAAGGTTCTTGGAAACCAAAGTATAGACTCTTCATTCCTGTTTAAGTAGGTCAAGGGCAGCTTGGCTCCTGTATTATGAGATAGTATCTTTGAATAAGTTTTACTTGTTACTTTGTTTTATGATGCAGGTTTTTCTCAGTGAACATCCAAGAAGATTGTAATTTTTGACATTGTCCTTCTTTTTAAGGTGGAGTGAATGTACATTTTTCAGTAGCAAGCATTTGTGAATTTAGGGTATTGCAGTTCCTGGGGTTAGCTGAGGCAGTAGTAATGTGTGCTGGAAGTTGTGTAAGGGTATTCATAACTTATAATTACCTGGTTTAGGGTTGTGGATCAAGATTTTCTGAGTGTCTCTAACTAGGTGGCAGGAAAGGAACTTACATTCTTAGAGATGTTGATTCTTAAGTTTGTGAAAGGGTATGGGAGAGATTCCTGATAAGATGACCATAACACTGAGTAAGGCAAAATAAATGGGTTTTGGGCTGTACCTGAGTAAAGTACTATGGCAAAAAAAGGTCTTTTTTAGAGGGAAGACCTGTTTAACCAATACTGTAATACAGGGCAGTTATTTTTAATGCATCAGTTCTCACTTTCCACTTCATGTATAATTGGGAGCAGGAGCTCCAGTTGAAGGCAATATCTGGGCTTGCACATAAAAAAAAAAATGTAGTCGCAGTCTGCTGGGACATGCATTGAACCACGTAGGAAAAATGAAATATTGTCTTCTATACTGAACAAGGTGAACTGCAGTTAGAACGCAAAAAGCTGTATAAATGCTACGCTATGTTTATAGTAAGTTGAGAAATTCCAGCCTTTGGGAAAGCAGTTAACATTGTTAATGCTCCCCCTCCCTCCCATTCAAAACAAAAAAACCTCAAACCTTGTCAAATAAAAGTGAAAGAATTTGTGTGTTCTGATTTCTTTTAATGTTTTTGCCCTAAGATAACAGAAGTTACTAAAAGCAGACAGTAGAGGACTTCTGTTAGTCTGGTAAGAAAATAATTTTTCTAGGGTTGAGTAGAATACAAAAAAAAATTGAGCATCATATTGACCTAAAACATCAGTGTTAACTGAGTTTCTGTCTGCCTTTTAATGAACAACAAAAATTTTTTTAGATCCTTTATCGTGTTACGTGAAGCACTGTGAGATTTTCATGCTGCATCAGCAAACTGTTTCAGTGAAGAAATAGCACAGTAGGTCTGAGAATACTTCCCTTATCTCCTCTGCCCAGGAAGGCATGCTAGAAGATGCAACTGTGTGTAAATGTTTGGGGTATGGTTTTGTCTGTTGTAGGAATATTAGTAATACTAGAAACTCTCCATTCTGCTTTTCTATGGCAGTAAAATCGTCTCTGATATGCAAGTGACTTTGCAGTGTAACTTACAAATGTGGCTTGAATTGATGGAAATCGGGCTCTAAAACATTTATAGGATAGTCAGAAGTTCTTTGGCATCCGTACTGTGTGTGTGGGAGTGGCAGCAAGGGATGTGAAGCTTTTAAAGGCTTATGGTTCTGTGCCTTCGGGCTGTGTTTTAAGTATATAGCTTTCCTTAATATGGAGCTCACTGTGACAGCTTTATTCAGAAGATTCAGCATTTTCATAATGATCCACATGTTATTATTTTTATTGGAGGCTAATGTTGGTGTAATAGTATTCTGGAAAGTAACTGAAGAATAGTATAAATGTAAGTAGAAGGAAATTAATACTGTGTGAGAGATCAAGACTAGTGTATTTTATTTATTTACATGTCTTTGCCTTTTTAGGTTTTATAGGCAGTCTAGCATACTTCGGAATTTTTTTAAGTATTTGGGTGCAGTTCGGGTATGGAAATATATCTTAGTCCCATTTGTGATGTTACTAGAGGCTCTAAGGACTAACATTAGTCATTTTAATGTGGAAGGGTTTAGTGTTGATACATTAGATTCCTGTCTGTGGCTTCAAGTCAATGTGAGGTCTGCATCATGTTCTTTGGTTAGTTTGACAAGCCATGTCTTCTAGGTATACCTGATTTGAATAAGATTTGTTAATGCTACCTGGATACAGTATTAGTGACTCTGCAGAGAGGAACTGCTTTGCATGATCAGGCGTTTCATTTGTTACTTCCAAAGTTGTGTGTTGTCCTGACTCCTCACGCATCCTTTTTTTTTTTTTTTTCCTTTTAAAGTAATTTTTTTTTGACTTGAGAAATAAGTTCTTCAGTTTCCTAGTGTACTGTCTTTATACATCATAGCCTACTAAAAGTAGGTAATTATAGTGCTCTGGAAAGGTGGTTGATCTAGCACATTACTTCTGAAACTTAGGTGGTCACTGATGCATTTCACAATCAATTTGCTGTGTTGCAGATCTCCCTGTTTACAGAACTCTTTGTTGTCCTCCTCCTAAAGCTATACATATAGTTATCAGCTTAGAAAGAAGGATTTTTTTTGCTACTTCAAATTATGTATTCAATTTAATCAAGACAAACTAGAAATGTGAGGAAAAATAGTGAAGAAGGTGGTTGCTGAAGCTCATACAGGAAGTCAGTTGCATGGAAGGAACTGAGACACAGTTCAGTGCATTTTACTGTAAGAAGCACAAACCTGGAAAGAATGCTTTTACTGTCTTGTGATTTATGAAATTCAATAGAATAGTATAATCTAAGGAGCTGTAATGCTGAATAAAAAACCTATGAACTTATCTGTGAAGGTTGAACTGCAGCACCTATTCTGTCTAAAGTCAGTGCAATGCTTGGAACACTGTTTGTGTTAGAGAGAGGTACAAAGATGTCCTAGATAAGTGGAATTACTCTAGCACTCTAAGATGCTGCTTTAGAAAAGAGTTGTTCAGAAATGAATCTGTGTCAAAACTGCAGGAACTGAATATCAAATATCAATTTACTTAAATAGTTAAACCCAAATTTTTGTTGAGGGTTTTAACTGTAGATGTTAATTGAAAATATATGTTAGAAGCCTCTTTAAAGATTCTAGCAGTGGCAACTATTTTGTGTACAGTTCAACTAAATATTTAAAATTTAATGCCAGCATTCAGCCGAAATCTAGACAGTGATGTAAAGCTTTATTTCAGCTTTTTCTTACTGAACTGTTTCCATATAAGGTAGACTTACTGATGGAGTAAATGTGAACTTCACATTATTCCTCCTTGCCATACTGTAGATTTATATCTATAGTTTTATTCTTAAAATTAAAAATTGAAACCGTTTTACTGTATTTGAAGCTGTAATATGCTATATTTTATCAGATTTTGTTTTCGACAGCAAATCTGTAATTACTTGCCTCATTACGTGGCACTAAAAGTCTTCGATAGCACTGGAAAAAAAAGGTGTTGCACAGTACTATACTTGAGGCTGTTCTTAGAGGTGACCTTAAAAGTCACTGAAGTGTGAAGGGGTAAAACCAAGAAATGTTGTTCATGTAGAGTATTTAGGATATCCTTTGCCAGCAGTGGTAATGGATTTGGGCATAGTACCAAGCTTGGTCTGAAGAACTAAACTACTATACCTTGTTGAATATTAAAATTTGCAGTATAATCAAAAATAGTGTCTTAGAAACCATAATGTCTAGTTGATTTTGAAGGATGTTCTGAAGTAGGAAAACAACGGCTTCAGGCTAATGGTATCTAAAGATGTCCTAATTGTTTTAAAATCATTCTTAGAGTTAATTTAGCATGGTTTGCATAAGAAGAAAAGCAACTTTAAGAAAATATAAAGCATTCTTGTTTATATTTTTTCATTATTTAAACATCTGGGGTTTATATTAGTTGGAGAGTTAGTTGTTCATGCTTTCTGTTTAGCGCTAGTAGGATGTCTTTGGGCCCTAGTTATATAACGATGCATAAACTAAGGAATTTGAAAACTAAAGTTAATGTTTTCAAATGGTTTACTTTGTAATGTCGTCTTTCTTCATAAGGTGTATCCAGAAGGTGCACATAGAATTCTAAGAATGTCCTACATGAATTGTATTTTAATGTTTTAATTATCTAATGTCTGATTCTGAAATTCACATTATACATTTAATTTATGTAAACAGTTTTTCACAAGTTGAGAAAGATCTTTAATAAGCCTAAATATGTGGTATAATACATAGTTGTCAGTGTGCTTCTCTCCCTCAAGAAAGCATCCTTGTAATTCAGATAAGCCACTGGAGTGCAGAAATGAGCTAATTATTGGAACACCTGGTGCAGTGAGATTGACCACAGTTCCACTGAAGTGCCATGAGGACTTGGAAGCAGGCATGGGAGAGTTGGTTGTTTACCTTTCATTTCCACCTGTATTTACTGTGTTTAAAAGAGGAGGAAAAAATACTCTAAACAAAAGCCCCTCTAGCAGTTGTGGTTTTCTCATGTGAATGTATTAGATGGTTTCTGTACATATGGAATGGACTAAAACTTAGATTTTGGCAGTAGAGCTTTCTCCTTTCCCTGTTTATTTAGAACTGCTGCAAACAAAGATGGTTACAGTACAGGCAAAATTTTGTTTCAGAAAACAGTGTATCTGGCTTTTGTATGAAGTAAGCTTGTTAGGAATATAGATATTTTAATTCCAGGAGAGCTACTTTTGCATTGAGCTGTGGATGTTCAACTCATTTGAAGTCGTTCATCCATTTATATTGTCATTACTTACTAGTCTACTGACTACTGTGGATTAGGCGTTTTTCATCTAGTTGTTTCTCTGGTGTCTAAAATAAGCTGCAGTATGCAATGTCACGTGCCTGAGTCTGATTCTGCTGGGAAAAGTGAATGCTGTAATATGTAAATACCTGAAAGACCCTTATATGTGTTTTGACAGATTGGCAAAATGAGGTATGTCAGTGTTCGTGACTTTAAAGGGAAAGTCTTAATTGATATTAGAGAATATTGGATGGATCAAGAAGGTGAAATGAAGCCTGGCAGAAAAGGTATTGTTCTGCTTCATGTTATTTTCTATTAAAACATTGTCTGCAGTTTTCTGAACAAATTTGTGTATCAATCAGATATTTACACTTGACTACTGCCTTTTAAAAAAATAATTTATATTTTAACAAATTATTAATTTTATCTGTAGATTATAAACAGAAGCAGAGTGGATTTGTTGGCCTGAGTCTGTTTTCCTTAATGGATTCTCCATGATTTGTGGAAAACAGCATCAAATACAAACAGATTTGGTATGGGAGTTAGAAATATAGCCATACTTTTCCTCCATCCCCCATTAATTTAATCAACTTGATTTCTTTCTTTCATTATAGCAGGATTTCTTATTTAAAAATTCACCAAAACTGTTTCATTTAGCTTACTCATTTGTGATAATATTTTAAATTCTTAAAAACAATTATGTCCTTCAGTTTTAATCAAATCTTAGGTTTAAAAACAATAGTAACATTGATGAATTTTTGAGAAAAATTATGCCAAGATTTTAATTGAGGAGAACATATCTCAAGTGCTCAAGTTTTGGTACTGTGCTTCTCATCTGCAGCACAGCATAAACCCATGTACCTTTAATTGCCCTTCTTCTACCTGCTTTTTGTGGCATACTTTGGTTTTTGTAGACATGGTTTAGTGGTTGACTTGGCAATGTTAACAGTTAGACTTGATCATCTTAAAGGTCTTTTCCAACCAAAATTATTCCATGATTCTATGAATGTTTTTGGAATTTTACCACCTGCAGGATGAGGATATGAGAGTAGCTAGTGGTATTTTGCTTGATGTCATGTTGCTTGCCTTAGAAAAGTCTGCTTTTAATCAGTTTTCATGTTATGCCAAGGAAAGAGGTAAGTATGAAACATTCTGCTCTGGAGATTGAAGACATTTAATGCAGAATCAGCACAAGGGTTGTTACATTCTTACAGCATGTCCAGGAGCAGCACAGTGAATAGGCATTGGAAAAGCCTGAGAAGTGTTTTCAGCATTTCTTAAATAACTACCAAGATGAGGTTTGTATGAGTAGGAGTACTGGTATTGTATAGGAAATATTTTTGTTTTAATGTGTTGCTGCTCAAGGTGACCCTATCTTCTAGGAACTTAAAACTGCCGTGTTGTCATGTGGAAGTCATAAGTGTATGCAGTTTGAGGGTAAACTACAATGACATTTGATGAATAGACGAACTGACAAAAAGTACACAACATAGATAAAAATATTTATCAATGTGGCAAAAGAGTCTGAATTTTATTAGGATAAAATTAATAAACGACAGTATGTGAGTTTAATGTTCCATTGATGCTTATCTAGCTATCCTAAAAATGGTGTGAACAGTTAAAATTGTGTAATAAAAAACCTGAAAATAATATCCAGCAGTTTAAATTGATAATTGTTTCAAACAGCAGATCTGAACATCGTGTAGTTTATCTGTTGTGAGGTTCAGGGTCATCTTGGTGGCATTTAGTCCCCTAATAATAGTTAGCATACTTGACCAACTGTTTTCAAAATAAACCTGCTGTCTAAAAACCGGTGGGGAAATGCTTAGAATAGCTCCACGCAGAATGCTCAGTGCTTAAAATTATGGTGGTGCTCTGATAAGACAGTGATAGTAGAAGAAAAAAAAGGTGATGAGTCCCAATTACAGAATTCAAAGTTTCACCTGTTTTCAGGTTCTGCTCTACCTATAGAGAGAAAACAATGAAGGAAGTCTGATCACTGAGGGGGGAGAGTGGGGGTAAATAGTACCTGGCTGGAGAGAGTATGAGAGGTAGGCCTGTGAGTCTGTACTTGAATAGAGTTGGAGTAGGAATTGTAGGGGAAGAAAGAGGAGACTACAAGCACAAAGAAAGCATGTGCCTGTGCTCGAGGATAAGGAAGTACAAATTTAAAACTAAGGAGATGAGTTGTGGGAATCTAAATTATCATTGATTGAATGTCAGTTGAAACTGTAGTGAACTTCAAGTGGAAAAAATAACTTCCATGTTGTTTGTGAGTGCTAGAGAGTGGAATAGTCCTTCCAATATGTTAATTAGAGCATGTTTTCTTTACAGTGCTTTAAGGAACAGGAGGGAAAAAACCATAACCGAGAATTATAGCACTTTAAAAGTGCATAGAAATTCAGTCCACAGAGGTGTGGCTTTTAGGGGTCAACAGGAGTATAAATGATTTTCAACATCTCACTCAAGGCTTTTATGCTGCCTACTATCAATGCCAGACTGCCTGTCTTTAGCCTAACATTTGTGAATGAATTTGTTACACTGTACTAATTTTCTTTGTAATTTAAAATTGTTTAGAGATAAGCCAAAGTTACCTTGAAGGGTTCCAAATATGTACTTGCACTTTGTAACAGAGATAGTTGTAGAAGTAGCTCAACATTTAATAGTTATCATAGAATCATAGAATAGTTATAGTTGGAAGGAACCTTAAAGATCATCTAGGTCCAACCCCCCCGCCCCCCTTCATGGGCAGGGACACCTCCTCCCATGCTCAGGGCTCCATCCAGCTTGGTCTTGAACACTTCTAGCTATGGGGCTTCAGCATCCTCCCTGGGCAATCTGTTCCAGTGTCTCACCCTCACACTAAAGAAGCTTCTCCTAATGTCTAACCTAAATCTCCCCTCTTTCAGTTTTGATCCGTTACCCCTTGTCCTCTCACTACAAGCCCTTGTAAAAAGTCCCTCTCCAGCTTTTCTGTAGCCCCTTTAGGCACTGGAAGGCTGCTATAAGGTCTCCCTGGAGCCTTCTCCAGGCTGAACAGCCCTAGCTCTCAGGCTGTCCTTGTAGGAGAGGTGCTCCAGCCCTTGGATGATTTTCATGGCCCTTCTCTGGACTTCTTCCATGAGCTCCACATCCTTATGTTGGGAGCTCCCGAGCTGGACACAGTACTTCAGGTGTGGTCTCATGAGAGCGGAGTAGAGAGGGGGAATTACCTCCCTTGACCTGCTAGCCACACTTCTTCTGACGCAGCCCAGGACACGGTGGTTTTCTGGGCTGCAAGTGCGCATTGCCAGCTCATGTTGAGATTCCTGTCCACCATCACTCCCATCACTCTGGACTGTTTTTGATTGATTCACCACCCAGCCTGTATTTGTGCTTTGGATTGCCTTGACCACGTGCAGGATTTTGCACTTGGCCTGGTTGAATTCCAAGCAGTTTGCACAAGTTCACTTCTCAAGCCTTTCTGGGTCCACCTGAATGGTATCCCTTCTCTCCATGTCAACCTCATCACTCACCTTGATGTTGTCAACCAGCTTGCTGAGGCTGCACTTGGTTCATCTGCCCATGTTGCCAAAGAAGATGTTAAACAGCACCAGTCCCAGTACCGACCCTTGGGGAACACCACTTGTCACTCGTCTCCATCTGGATATTGAGCCAGTTCCTTATCCAGCGAGTGGTCCATCCATTAGATCTGTACTGCTCCAGTTTTGATACTGGGATGTTGTGCAGAACAGTGTCGAAGGCTTTGCACAGGTCCAGGTAGATGACGTTGGTTGCTGTTCCTTTGTCCATCAGTTCCATGACTGCATTGTAGAAGGTCACCAAATTATTCAGGCATGATTTGCTCTTGGTTGAAGTCATGTTGGCTTGCACCATTCACCCCTTTGTTTTTCACTTGCCTTAGTAGAGCCTTCAGAAGGATCTGCTCCATGATCTTTCCGGGCACAGAGGTGAGACTGATTGGCCTGTAGTTGCCTGGGTCTTCCTCTGCTCCCTTCTTGAAAATGGGAGTTACGTTTCACCTGGGATTACTCCAGACTGCGAAGACTTTTAAAATATGATGGACAGAGGCTTAGCAGCTTCGTTGGCCAGTTCCTTCAGAAGTTGTGGATGAATCCTGTCAGGTTCCATAGACTTGTGCACCTTCATGTCTTTCAGATGGTTGCAAACCTGCTCTTCTCCTACAGTGGGGAGATCTTGCTTTTCTCAGTCCATGCCTTTGCTGTCTCTAACTTGGATAGTACGACCAGAGCCTTTGCCATTGAAGATAGGCAAAGTAGTCATTGATTACCTCAGCCTTCTTTACGTCCTGCATGGACCGGTTTCCAGTTTCCTTCTGAAATGGGCCCACAGTTTCCCTTGTCTTCCTCTTATTGCTGACATAGCTGTAGAAACTTTTCTTGTTCTTAACATCCCTGCCAGGTCCCATTCTATCTGTGCTTTGGCTTTCCTTACCTGATCCCTTGCTTCTCTGACAGCTTGTCTGTTCCTCCCCCCAGGATACCTGTCCCTGCTTCCACTCTCTGTAAACCTTGTTTTTACATTTAACTGTGTCCAGAAGCTCCTTACTCGTCCATACAGACCTCCTGGCACTCCCACCTGCCTTCCTCTTTGTTGGGACACATTGCTTCTATGCATGGAGGAGGTGATCCTTGAATATGGACCAGCTTTCTTGGGCTCCTTTTCTCTCCAGGGCTTTGTCTCACAGTACCCTACCAAGCAGATCCTTGAAGAGACCAAAATCTGCTCTCTTGACGTCAAGGATAGTGAGCTTGCTTTGCTGCTTCCTCGCTGCCCTACTGACCCTGAAATCAACCCTGTCAAGGTCGCTGCAGCCTAGTCTCCCATTAAATCTTACATCACCAACCAGCCTGACTCTAGCTCTGTTGGTGAGAATAAGGTCCAGCAAAGCACCTTTTCTTGTTGGTTCCTCTACCATTTGGAAGTGGAAGTTGTCATCAATGCACTGCAGGAACTTCCTGGATTGCTGGGGTTTTGTTGTGTTATCCCTCCAAGGAATATCTGGGTCATTTAAATGCCCCAGGAGGACCAGGGCCTGTGAATGAGAAGCTGCTTCTTTCTGCCTGTAGAGGGCCTCATCCTCTTGGCGGTCCTGGTCTGGTAGCCTGTAGCAGACCCCCACTACGACATCTCCTACCCCTGTCTTCCCTTTAACCCCGACCCATAAGTTTTCAGTTGAGTCCTCTTATATCCCCTGGCAGAGCTCCACAGACTCCAGCTAGTCACTGATACAGAGGGCAACAACCCCTCCTCTTCTGCCCTGTCTGTCTTGCGTAAAGAGCTTATACCCAACCATCCCCACACTCCAGTTGGAGGAGCCATCCCCCCATGTCTCCGTGATACCGATAACATAGCTCTGCAGGCATGTACACATCTGCAGATTCCTCCTGCTTATTGCCTGTGGTCCTTGTGTTCACATAGAAGCATTTAAGATGGGCCCCCTTTGAAGCAATCATGCTGACAGGGGTAACAATTTGCTGGTCAGATGCTTTCCTGTTGGCCTGCAGGCCCAGGGAAGGTTGAGGTCCTGATGAAATTTATGATTATAGACTGTTTATGCAACCAGCCTTGATAGTAATGATGCAAGATCCTGCACTGCAATTTTTTTTATCTTAAGTGTTTATTTTTAATGCATTTCAGGTATTTCTTTAAATCCAGAACAATGGAACCAGCTGAAGGAACAGATTTCTGATATTGATGATGCAGTAAGAAAACTGTAAAGACAGCCATACAGAAACTTTTATCATTTTAGTTGTTTTAAGCGGTCTTTTTACATTGGCTTTTGTTTTCTAAAATATTGTTTTCCAAGCTATTGTATATTTGGATTGCAAAACGATTTGTAAGATGAATACTTTTTTTATGTGCATTAAAAGTGTATTCTGAGTGAGGCTATTTGTGTATACTTTACTAAAAGAAAATGTGTTGCTTTCACCTCATGGTGTAAAATAAACAATTCAAGTACTATGTAAAGCATACTTGTTCATGGGCTTTTGATTGAAGTTGTTTTCTGATAAGGCCACCTACTAGCTTTAATCTTTGTTACAGTTTCAGTTTAGTTAATATGAATTTGTTTTCTGAGGAGATTTCTTAAAATGTCTCCATTCTCAATTTAATTTTTTTCTTTTGTTTCATACTCTTTGGTATTGCCCTGACAGCTTTCTGCTTTAAGACTTGGTACAAATGGTGGATACTTGGTAAAACACATTTTTGTAGATAATTTTAAAGACTGTATTTGCTAATTTACTCTTATTTATTCAGATGTAAACAGTCCTGAGTATATAGACACTTTTGCATTACTTGCATGAAGTGTTATGCTAAACAGTAACACTTGAACACAAGCCACATGCTGTTTCTTCCCATTTTTTTCTGTAGCTTGCTCTACTTAAGAAATACTGCTAGCCTTTTTTCTTAATCCTAGGTTTTAAAATGTGATGCATAAACTTTTACCATAATAGACATATACCTCAGAGTAAGATAGTATTTAAAAGCTCCAAATGTGATTGTTAGGTACCCTTTGCAACCTTTGCATTAAATTAATTCTTGAACACATACTACAAGTTACTTTATAGAGAAGAACAGTTAACCTGTCTTTGTATGGCTTTTGTTTGATTGAGAGTATTGTGTAAATTGTGCTTAAACTAGGCTGTAACACAAGTTAAACAGTCAAGCAGGGTTAAAATGGCTTCAGCCCAAATTTCTGGCTGTTGTGGTTCTGTGCTGTCCACACAGCCTGCCCAAACCACCTAACCTGCCTTGCTGTGCATGGCTCGCATGCACACAGTTGTTTTCTTTTGTGCAGAACATACTTGGCACTTATAGTGGAGTGCTGGCACTTGGTGGCTCATGACTTCCCTTATCAACGATTGTACTATTCTGGTAAGAGAGATTTTTATCATGTGTAAGGCATATGAAGCTAGAGGCTGCCCCAGTTTCCAGGCTTTGTGGTAGGCGTCACAAAGAATGCAAAGAAGAAGGGAGAACATAATGTTTGAGTAGAACTTGGAGGAGAAAGGAGCACACGGGTACAGAAAATGCTGAAAGATCAAGGTTGGCTGACACAGTTAGCTGGCCAGCTGATCAGTTAATTGAAGGAAGGTGAAACAACCTAATGAAAATAGACATTTCAGGACTACGTAGTGAACATGCAGCTTAATTGGTTTGGCTGCAAGTTTCCCATTTGGTGTCAAACAATGTATTTTTTTGAATTTTATATAGATAAACAGGATTTACTATGTGTTTAATTTTGGAATATCTTTATATAATTATTTATATTGCAGACATGCATGGAAGTGCCATACACAGACTGTCCCTGTGCTGCAAAGTTTATAATTCAATACAAAAGTGTGTTTAAGGATGAGGAAAGGTGACTTAATCAAATTAAATAGATACTATTTCATTTAAATCTTGTATCAGATACCTCCACCTGCTTCTTAACTTACCCATTGTTCATATATTACAAATAAAGTTAAGATCTCATTTTGTATAGCTCAGGAAATTTGGGTTTTTAAGAATCGCTTGAGAGTGGATAAAAAAGTGAAGAGATGTTTTGTGGGAGCAGATGCATTTTTGTGCACAGCATTCTTTTTTGAGTGATTTAAAGGTGTGTAGAGATATTTGGACCAAATAAAATAAATATAAAATGCCTGCTAAAATTTCAAAGATGAGTGAATGAAATAAATTGCTTCAGATCACTGTTGACAGGTGCTAGGTGTTTTTTATTTGCAGCAGGTGTATAGGATATTTTTCCATCACATCTGAAATTTTGCAGCCAGTTTTTACATCACCCATCTTACCTCAAAACTTCCATGTGGTTGCTTTAAAATTAATAATTATATTAGAGGGAACATTTTTCTCACTTAGATAACTGTCATAGTAGGTCACTGGGTGGCAGTTGTGTATCAGAGTACAATGTAATTCTGTTCAAGAAAGTGGGGATTTAATTCATTTGGGAGGAGTAAGAGAAAAAGGTTTAATATAGTAATTAGTTCTTTTGTGGAAAATGATACTAGAGATGTCCAAATAAATTAGTATTTGTTACCCAAGAACTATGGTTCCTATTGTAGATAACCCTTTTGCTGAAATTCTGGTGGTACTTACTGGAGCTGTTCATTCAATTTTTCTTATTAAAACTTGGGGCAGTTTATATCACTTGGAAAATTACTTTTAAACAGACATAACCCATCTGCCTCTAAGGATAAAATATTTTATGTTTTACCTTTTTCTTACATAAAAAGGTAATTAAAGAAACCAGTCAGTTTTACAAATGAACTCAAAATAGGATGAATTGAATTGTGAGGGAATTAATTGCACCTCAGATGACTGTACTTGTTACTTGAAAAAAAATAATTGACACATTTAATATTACTTTGAAATAAATAGTTGGTAGTGATTTGTCATGTGATTGTTTATGGATATAGTCTTATTTCAGAAGAAAATTCAAACTTTTTGAATTAAGATTATTTTCTTGCAGACAAAGTGATAGGGTACATGTAGAAGTGTCTAGGGAAGAAAGCTATGTGTGTTTGAAAAGGCTGTGTAATATGAGATGAAGACACTGCTCCGTTTCCCATTGAAGTAGCAAAAGAAAGAAAAATGTATTTGATTCTTGATGTTTATGTGGGGCATATTAGCAATATGTTTTAAAAATTAAACCTACTGTGGAGCTTAGGAGAAAAAATACAGCACAGTTAAGAGTTGCCAAAGTACCGTACGTGTGATAAACTGTCATGTTATGATGTTGCTCTTACGTAGAAATATTCATATTGAAATTAAACCAATGCAGTACTAAGTTAGATATTTCTGTTAAAGGAAATACCCCACTTACATACTTATGTGATTTGTTAGCAAAAAAAAATCAACTACTGTAATTCTGGTAACTCAAATGTCATATTGTTAACCATGTGGAATGTTTGTTGTTTTGTTCTGGTGGTATATCCTGCAGAGAAGCCACTGGAAATAAGAGCTCTTCAACTGTAATTACCTTGATGTTCAATAAAAAAGTTAAATGGCATATGTGTAGTAACAATTTGAACACTTGGAAATAAATGGAGATTTCTGTTGACATAGTGTTATTTTTAATAGAAATTTAGCTGCACTAGAACTTCTATTTTCTTAAATTATTATGGAAACTGCTGTTTGTTTTTCGCAACTGTTGTAATTTAGAAATTTGAAAACTCACTCATGTCCATGCTTTTGGTTGGGGGATTTAATGTGTATCTGGAGGGGACAGAAGTTTTTGACGGTAATAGAAGAACAAGTGTCTTGTAAATGAGGAAACTGCAGATAAACACACCTTGAAACCTCACACTGAAGGGAAGTGCCTGCTAAGTCACCTACTGCTAAGAAAATGGCTGGCTGTCTTTTTTGGTGGAGATTCATTTTGATCTGGCAATAAATGTAACCATAGATTAGAAAAAAAGCTTTTTACCCATGTGTTTATTATCGTTGGTCAGTTACGTCAGTATAGGCTTTGGTAGGAAGGATACTTGTTTTTCACATGCTTGCTGTGACTGTTTTGTAGGAAGTGGATTAACTGACTGTAGCCTCAAACTTAACATTTTTCTTTAAGTAATTTTGATTATTAGAGCTGCAGAAACAAATGAATGTGGCTCAAAGGGAAGAACTGGAGTTTGGGGTTGCTGGAACGTCATCATGTTCTACCTATTTACTGCCATCTGCATCCTGATAGGATTTGCCTTTGACTATGCTCTGGTGACTATGTGTGGAAGACAAATGTGACAGGCCATGTCTTTCCTGTTGTGGATCAAGCTTGTATGTCCCCTGCTCTCAGCTTCATATTTTTACATAAAAGTGTGAAGACACCTGCTGAAGAACAGAAATAAATGGTCCTTGGCTTAGAGAAGTTTAAATCATGTTGTCTTGTGAGCAGAGCAACGTGCTGTTAGTCATGGGGATAACTTAAAAGCTGAGAATGTGGTGACAGCTGTTCCCTTCATATTGCACTTTGTTTAGCAAAAGTGTTTCAACTTTTAAAAAATCTGCTTAATTTCGTTTTTGTTGTGCTCCCTCTTCATTTTGGCAAATGAGGTAGAAACTGAGGTTGGATTGAGCTGTCATGTTTTTAAAATTGTTATCCTTCGGAAGGAGGTGGACTCTCAAAGATGAACAGAGCTTGCTGTAAAACTACAAAAGTTGGTGGGAATTAACAGACTGTTTTTAGAAATTTCTAGGTTTTTTTGATGGGGATAAATAAGAACATTTTGTGCCTCCCTGCCCAGTATACCTAGTAGACTCGTGTTAATTTTCAGTTCACATGGGCAGAAGCTGGATAAAAACTGTTGAAGTGAAGACATGGTAAGATTTTATGTAACTGTTTCTTGGGTTGTTACCATAGAGAAGAACTGTTTCCCAGCTTAAGAGTTTAAATGTTTTATGTTTTCCCTAACAGGTCAATGTGTCACAATAATTTTCAGGCTGTGGAAAATACAGCCCATTTCATCTTAGAAATAGGAAGACCTAAGTTGTTCTGTAAGCTATCATCATACAATATATCTGAGGGAGAGACAAATGATGATGTATAGTAAGAACAAAATTGAGATCGGCATGACCTGAAACTTGGAAGTTAAGGTGGCTTATTGAAATAAAATGTCATGGTCTATTTGTGACATTGCTTTTATGTAATATTTGAATCTCTGCAGTTTCCTTTGCTTTCCATTTGTCATCCCTTTGTCATCTGCAACTCCCTTAGCATTTACTCTAATATTTGAATTCTGACTGGAAGCATCCATACATCTCTTGGAATACAAGTGTCTCTGGCTACACATGTTATCACAAGACAAGGAATGTCTTAATGATTGAATACTAATGATAGTTCACAGATACAGCTGCTATTGCTAACACAGGCCAATTAATGATCATATGTCTATTTTGTTTCCTTAGCATTATGATAAAGTATATATACTTAGAATAGTTGGATTACTCTTGCCACTATGCATACTTCCCAAAAGAAGTAA